TGAAGACTACTGCTAGCGCTAAAGCTACTCCTGCAGCGCTCCTCCAGAGTGCTGCTGCCGAATCCTGAAGACTACTGACTGCCTTCTGCCTGCCCGTGAAGTGCATGGGAACTCCCTATGAACTACCTCGGCCTGCCTCCTGACTGCCTCCGACTGCCTGCAGTTGCAGGGCGGGGCAGTCCAGGAGGCTGCTCTTGCCAATGCCAAAATGAGCCAGGGTCTGGCGCTGCAGCTCCTGCTGAGCCTGTCGTGGGAACAGGCCAAAAATAGCCTGTTCCTAAAACCCTGGTTCGGTGCCTGAGTTTCAGGCCCGGTCGGTCTGATGAAGGACCGAAAATTGCCCTTCGTTTCAGGCTAAAAAGGCTACTGCCATTTTCAGTCTGAAACGACACAGGGTCTGTAGGCCCCTGTTTTTCAGGCTTTCGAGCTGAACAGACACGGGGCCTGTAGGCCCTGGTTTTCAGGCTTTCAGCCTGAGGGACGCAGGGCCTGGAAAACGGCCCTCGTGTGCAGGTGCAGCATGTAACACCCCCCCCTCCTTATGAAGTCAAGCCGGGTCGAGGGCGAAGCTGACGATCTGAAGGTGGAACCTGGACGCAGGTGCGGCGTGGAGCCGAAGATACCGGCTTGCCTTTCATCTTACGTTCGTAGCGGGCGAGAACGTCCGGAGCTGTTGCTTGGAGTTCTCACGGGTCAACCACCGGTCAGCTTTGTGGGTGCAGTATGCAAAATGGACCAAATACTCAGTCGGTCTGTTGCCGTAACGGCGCTGGGAGATGATATCGCTGACCTCTTGAAAACCGTCCATAGAAGGTGGGTCTTGCGATCGTCGCCCGGGAAAATTGTCATGGTCTGCTGGCGTGTAAAGAGCCAACTTGGAGCAATGAAAGACCGGGTAGATGGGCAAGTGGGCGGGCACCTGAATGATGAAGGAAGGTCCTTCAAGTGCATCTCTAGTGGGTGCCATGATCGGCCAGGGCCCCATCCATTTCGCGAGGAGCTTGCGAGAGGTGTCTTGTTCGAGGCTGAATTCCGCAGTGGAAACCCAAACAAGGTCGCCGGCGCAGAATGGGCAAGGAAGACGCTGGCGATTGGCCTGGCTCATGTGTTGCTGCATCTTAGCCATGTGGTCGCGTGCCTTGACAAGAAGCTCTTGCATCCAACGAAAGAAAAGAAGATGGTCGTCGCTCTCGACCGCTCGTGGAATGATGGAGTCCAACGGAGACGTGACCGGCGATCCGTGCTCGAACTCGAAGGGCGACATCCCAATAGCCGGGTGGATGGACGATTTGTAGGCCAACTTGACGTCCGGCAACCGCTCAACCCAATCTTTCTGGTCAGGAGGGATGAGAGTGCGAAGGAGAACCTGTGCGGTCTGGTGCGCCCTCTCCGTTTAGCCATATCGGTCTGGGGGCTGAACTGGGCTTGAGAGATGAGCCCCATCGCTTGATGAGCGCCAACCAAAAATCGGACATGAACCGAGTGTCGCGGTCACAGACGATTTCCTTGGGGTAACCCTTGGTTCGAATCCAACCGGCGTAGAGAACCTCGGCCAACTCCGATGCCTTGGCATGATAGCGACAAGGCAAAAACATGGCAAACTTGGTGAGTCGATCGACCACCGTAAGAATCCCATCCACACCAGTCTTGTGCTTGGGGAACGGCCCAGTGATATCCATGGCAATCGCTTCCCTCCGGCGCAAGGGGACCGATAATGGTCGCAACTCGCCATACGGACGGTGATTGCGAGATTTGCAGCGTCGGCAAACCTCGCATGACTCGCAATAGCATGTGACGTCGCCGAGAAGGTCGGGCCACCAAAAACGCTCGCGAAGTCGGCCAATCGTGCGATTGACTCAAAAATGTCTGGTGGCGGGTGCATCGTGGAACTCACCAAGAAGCCGTGTACGCAAGTGAGAGTCACTCGGTACGCAAAGAAGGTCCTTCCCCTGTGTGTGGACAAGCAAGTACCCCTCTTGGATTCAATAATGCGATGGCGCCAGATTAGGAGAGGAGCAATTCGCGTACTTGTCGCGAAACTCGGGGTCGGCTTGGTAGCCGCGGATGAAGCTGTCCCACAAGTCGTCGTCAATCTCGAAGGTCGAATAGACTGTGGCATAATGATCCGGACGCCGTGAAAGAGCATCCACAAAACGGTTTGACTTCCCAGGGATGTGATCCGAAAAGAAGTCAAACTGGTCGATGAAAGCCATCCACCGGGCGATGGTGCTGTTGACTGTGTCTTGGTTCTTGTAGAAGATCAACGGATTGTTGTCCATCACCCGTCGGAATTGATGATACCCCAACTTCAAGTCCAACTTGGAAAAGTACTTGGCACCACCCAATCACTCGAGAAGATCGTCGATACGAGGAAGAGGCCCCGCATTCTTGACGGTTTGCGCGTTGAGCTTGCGATAATCGATGCACAGACGTAGATCCTTGTTCTTCTTCCAGACGAAGAGAACTGGTGCTCCATATGGGGAGCTACTAGGGCGGATCCAGCCCTTGGCCAACAAGTCGTCGAGTTGTGCGCGGAGGACCTCAAACTCCTCCTCGCTCATCCGATAGATGCAACCTTTCGGCGACACGGCACCGGCCTCAAGAATGATCTCGTGAGAGATCGGCCGATCCGGCACGACACCGATAGGTGACTTGAAGATGTCGGCGAACTTGTCCAGCAAACGCACCACACGGGGGTCCGAAGACAAGTCCGTTGGTGAAGAGTCGGCTACCGCGATGGTCCGTAGGAAGCATAGGCCGATCTCCTCGGGCTGCTCGTAAGCGCAAGTCGCCCGGAATGATTTGGCCGTCACCACTTGGCACCGGATCGAAGGCTGCGGAAGAGGAATAGTACACGGTACTTCAACGCCGAAAGCGTCACGAATGCTAAGAGTCTGCCTGTGGAAGTTGACCGTGTGATCCGCACTTGCAAGCCAAGGCATTCCCGAAATGATATCGAAGTCCGTGTCCAAAATGTCGAACGTCACCGGTTCGCATGCATGAGGTGCGAAATACCCCGGTGCGGCCTCGAAGTAACGGTTGATAAGTTGTTGCGTCCTTTCGTCCGCCAACTTGATCGCCGTCGGGTTTGCCTTCCTCCGAACTTGTGTGCCAAGGCCAGCCCTTTGCATAAAGGCTTGGCTCATGAAATTGCAAGTCGCTCCGCTATCCAGCAAAGCGCTGCAGGACGCTTGCCCAACTTGGATGCGGACATAGAGGAGCGGTGCGTTGTTGTCATCGTACCGCTGCGTGCGAAACTCGCGGGCCACCTTGGCAACATACGCAAGGATGTCCCCCACCGTGACTTCGTCATCCGTCGGCGAAGTTGGTGGTGCATAGAAGGATAAGTACGTATGGAGATGAGCGCATAGTGCTGCGCATTGCGGTCCCGGCAAGCGGCCCGTGGTCGGGAGAGGAAGCCATGCGAAATCCTCGGACGTGAGCGGGTCCAATACCTCTAGGTTGAACTCGCGCGCTGAATCCCGTGAAGAACCACATGAAGACGATAAGGAACCGCTGTCGGACGAAGGAGATGCCGCACGCGTGTCTTGTCCTTGAGCAAAAGTACCCAGCGTAGGAACGAGACAGGCAGCATAGTCCTCAAAAGAATATAGAAGAGGACTATCGACTTCCGCATGTGCCTCGGAATGAAGGCCGGTCACTCGCGAAGAGACCGGTTCCGAAGACGTCGAGAGTGTCGTCGAGTCACTCTCGGCGGTTCTCAGTTTCCCGATCGGCCTTTGCCCTTAGACGGGCAGCCCACTGTCTCGTGGAGATCACTGTTACACCACAGACAATAGCGGTATCTCGTGCGTTGCTTGTATACTAGCTCCGAGAGGCCGTAGTGGGTCCATGGGGCTGAAGCTGTTGCGCCGGGCCTGGGGATCAATGTGGTGTTTGTCTTCAGTTTGCCACGTCCTCGGCCTCTGCCGGCGCGGCCACCATCCCGGGCGGCTGCGAGTCTGTCCCCTTCATTGGCAGACACGGCCTCGCTGAAAGATTGGTCGGGTGGCATTGCCGCCGCGACCACGGCCACTTTCGGTCTCTGCTCGGGCCTGCTGCAGACGAACGGCCGAGGTTCTTGGCCTCCTTGTTCGTGACAATGATCTGCGCGGCCTTGTCAAAGAGCTCCGCCGTGGTTGTCAGGGTCTCGTCGACATGAGCCAACGAGTTGCCCAACGCCGGACACGACCTCGATATGAAGTAGTGTTTGATGGCCTTGAAACCCATCTGAATGTCTGGGACGGATGTCAAGCGTTGGAACTCGGCAATCCAATCAACACTCGGCAGCGTGCCCTGTCGGACGCACCAAGTCGCAGAACTCAAGCACCGCCAATGGGCAGTGTGAGCTTCAACCCGCGGAGGGAATCGCCAGATATTTCACTGGTCGCTATCG